AAGTGGTTAATTACCAACTAATATATAGTCAATTACCAGTTTTTTCGTTTTCAAAGAGGGCCAACTTCTAACGCGAGTATTGAATGTTCAAGAACGTTTATCAAATTTAGATAATCTAACTATTTCAAGGAAGTTCGCTTTATTACATAATATAAGAAGTTTAAACAGCTTTTCTTAACTATTGTATATTTGTTTACTATTATTGCTTTACTTTTTACTTACTTATATGCAAGTTTATCGCTAGCTATTATGAGTGTAACTTTAGATTCTGTTTTACATTTCAGATCATTACATAAAAGTGTCTCAAAGTATTCGTAATACACAGTTTTACTCTCCCCCTTTACTCTCTGGTTTACACGGTACTTTATTAAATTATGGGAAGTAGACCTGTACCACTTTTATAATAAATGTTCATGCAATGTCATTTATTAATGAGTATTCATTTAATTAAAACATATCGATATTTTCAAATATAAACCACCAATTGCCTACGAATGAAAAACTCACACTAAATTACATATAAATTATTTGTCTTCTCAATTGTTTCGACGAATGGATTTACATAATAAAAGATTGATAAATACTTTGTTAAAAAAATTTATCAAAATCCTGTGAGAAATATCATAGTAACATCTATTTTAATCGTAATACCTATTATTAAAGCTGTTTCAACAAACATGTTTTCAGGATTCATGGACACATTCAATGCCATTTATGGCAACATTCATTACTTAATCATAACGATTCCTTCCTTACGTTAATCCCTCTTTGCGTTACGTTTGCTGAACAGATCTAATATAAGTTAGTTCGATGTAAATACCCTTGTCTATGTTTACGGATGAACGTTGCATTTAGTCCAAGTACTTGCACACTGGTAATTTGTGGATTTAGTCGACCATAAATTCAACAGTCCTAACACTGATTGCAATTTGATGTTGACACACGACGCTCGATATTAGATATTGTATGCACAGATATAGCAGAATTTTGAATTAATCTGCAACTGGCCTATGTTTATGAAGACGTTCGTAGAGTTTAAGACGGAATGTCTTGCCTTGGATTTAATTGTAATTATAATGATGTCGGCTAGGAGATGCTTATTACTAGGAGGTGGATTTCATTACATGTTCACAGCAAATATCAGCTGAATTTATGTAATTTTATATAATTTATCTTCAACAATTTCAATCTGTTTAACCGTGTTAAATCTAATAAAATCCTTCATAAAGAATAGAAATTTCTGCTTAATTGACACTGTTGTAATCTTTGAATATTTCTGTTCACATAAGCATCTGTCGTTTACTTATTACTCTACAAGACACACCAGAAGTAATTTGCACAGAAATAGATTTGAATTAGCATTATAAAATTATAAACATTATAAATAAAATATATGTTTGTTTTAAATAGTAACAGACTCCTGAAAAATAAATTCTATTATTTGATAACGGTTTACAGCATTATTCTTGAGACTCGATTAACATGCGCTACGTGTTACGGAATTACCAGTGAAGGATGATCTACGCTTTCATAAATCAAAATGTATTATAACTAGGTCAAGAAATCTTGTTCTAGAATACAGCAAACAATCGTGAGATTTGACAATAACAAATGATCGTATTATTTAAGCTAAAACGACACGTTATCATGTTAGATTTCCTTGAAAACAAAACAGCATATAAACAAAATTTATTCCACATTTTCAACTGATTTCTGCACGTAAAATTATTCCTGGCCTTGTTATACTAACCATTCTAAGACACCCTGTATTTATTCTTTATAAATGAATTAAAATTCAGCACGTTTTCATCGTCGTGAGAACTTCCGTATCTCGGCATACCCGCAACACGCTTTATCCCTCCATAAAATGTTCTCGACACGCGGTGTAACTAAATCCTCCCTAATTCCATTCGAGAACGGTTCTGGCTGAGAGCCAATGGGCCGGTGGCCGGTGACAAAACTTATTTAATTATTTTTCTATCAGGCAGCCCGGGCTCGAGCCAGCCCGTATCCATGATGTGAACAGGTGAGAGCTAGTTAACGCGAACTTGTTCAATTATTTCCGTACAAATGAGTTAAACCGCGCGTTTTATACGGGCCTGTGTCTCGGGGGAGCGCTATCAACATGAAAAGCAAATGAGAAAGAGAGAGTAATTTGCTTTCGACGCGGAAAATTCAAGGTTGGGTCACCGTTTCGAATTTTATTTTTGTTGCGCGAAACTGTCTCATGGGAGATTGCTGACCTTTAGGTAGAACTAAATTTTCTTTTGTAAATTCGTACATCGAGTCAGTGATAATCTAATTTCGAGATTAATATGACGTTAATTAATTTATGAAAACAGAACTGAAAGAGATAATTGTTTTCTTTATTGGTGATTTTTTTATAATATCACTGAATTAGAAGCAACCTTGAATTTTATTGCATTTTATATTTTATATCTTATATTTTATACTATATACTTTGTGTTCCATGTTTCAAATTTGATATTGATTACAAAGGAAATATCAAACTTCTGTTGTATACACAGAGAGGATTGGTATCCATCCAAACTTATATCAGCAGTTAATGGTTAACTTCATATTACATTTAGTTAGATTGCTCAAAATAATCTCAAAATAATCTCTATCATTTTCAATTGCTTTAAATCTAAATTTCAATTAATCCAATGCTACAATTAAAAACTCTTACTACAACCACAAAAATTGAAAGATTTTAAATACAAAGAGCCTTGTCAATTCCTAACAGAAATCAAGATTATTCGATCGAAGTTCCATGTGATTCTGTCAGATTCAATGGTTGGCCATGAAAAAAGAAAGGATCGTTCGAAGAAAACGCCGAAGGGACTCAACGGACAGGCCCTCTACGCGCTCTCTACGTGAAAGGGGTGAAGGGGTTCGCGTCACCCGGAAACGGTAAATTAATTCGCAAACGACAAATCCAGTTCCCCGGCAACCCGCTCGCTTTCACCGTATAAACATCAGGACCAGAAGTTGATCGTAGCGCGGCGACGTTTCCGCCGGTGCCCGGCATATCCGGCGTATCCTCCCTGGAACACGTATTTGGCACCGTTTCTCCGTTGCCGCATCTGCATCGGACGTCAACGTACAACGGGACCCTCTCCTATAGCAAACTGTGTCGATCGCAATCCTCGCGAACTGCGATGCGAACTGATATCCAATTTCCCGGGGCCCCGGCGATCTGCGAAATTAGGGAGCTAACTGCTTTTGCAACGGCGCGGTGAGGGGAGGGGGTGGTGGTGGTGATGGAGGGAGGAGAAGAGCAACGCTTCGCCGATTGCATTCCAATTTCGGGGCATACGTCCGCGAAATGTTTGATGACTGACTGCGATGCGTGCATATTTCACACGATTTCTTCGATTCGACTGATAACGGATGCTATCGGTCGACCGCCGCGAATGTTAGTTCGTTAGAAGGTGCTTTCAGAGAAGCGGATATTGAATGATCTTTGTTTGTCGGAATATCGGTGAACGATTGTGGAAGAATTTGTTGATTGAAACTTTTAGTGGTGAATTCAAAGAAGTTAATACTGGTTTCGGAAATTTGGTTATTTAAATTTCATTTACAGTCATTTGCAGTAAGTGCAATGGAATGTAATTTTATTGTTTTCTTTAAGCTTTGGAATTTTTTAAATGATGATCGGAAATGTTAGATGAAATTGTGTTTGTAAGGAGTTTGCTTTTGTATGTTATTATTCATGTGGAAGGTTCATTGCTTGTTTAAAGGAAGTATTAACAACTTGAAACGAATCAATCGAAATTATAAAAACCCATTGACAAACAACAAAATACCTTTTTACTTGCATGAACCTTAACAAATTAACTTTGACGAGTATACACGCCGTCTTGAAACTTAAAATGATACTAATTCTTTCAACGATAAATTCTTTATTTTTTCAGGTAAACATGTGATCCTCCTTTGTTTTACTTTGGATTTTCATTAAAATATACTCTGAGTGTATTCGTCCTCATGTTTGATGAGTACACGCTTCATTTTTTTATTTTATTGGGCGCAAACAATAAATTTTTGTAACTAATTTCTACAGTTAACGGTAAAAATACTTAACTATATGTTGCGCGCTGTGAATGAGGCGTAAATCTAGATGTATATTATCGCGAAATCTGCAGAAGTTTCCCGTTACGTTCAGTTCGATCGTTTGATGCTAATAACGCTGTCCATTGTGCCTTGTACAAAGGAAATAATTGTCGAGAACTCGAATTTCCTGTTCATTCTCTTTTTTTTTGAATTTTGTGTCGAACTATCTGGCTTTATGATTCGAACTTCCATTATTCTTTTAGAGCACGCTTGAAAGTGAACAGAATTCTTATCGTTAGAGAAAAAATAAATAATTTACATATTGATTATAAAATACAAAATAATCCTAAATATAATATTTTTCTTTAAAAAAATGGTTATTTGTATATAAATTTATAATTTTTAATAGTTGAGGAGTTGCTCAGCGCCATTAAAATATTTATTTTACAAGTTCCAGGTCAGTGACAAGGAATATCAATCCACTGTTGTAAAAAATAACGAAATACTAACATAATCTACGTAAACCAGAGAAATATCTTTAAGAAAGCAATTTGAGAAAATAGAATTGCCTGTCCTCGTTTGCAATAAATGTACCACTTTATTCCAGCAGCTCAACAATGAAACAGAAAACTGTTTCTTTTGAAAGATGAAAAATCAAACAACGTACGTTTTCACATTTAATAAAACTTCGTACTTTATATTCGAACAAAGTGAAACTATATTAATGCATCGCTTAAATAATTACTTTACAGATACTTTACTTTCCACCGGTAGCGTTAATTTTCTACTTAATAGATAATGAAAACTAAATACCAACTATACCTTCACTTATTTACATGAAAATCCGACTCAGCTAACCTCGAAGAAATAATCAGCCCCAACAATTAACCCATGAAGAAGGATCGCTGCGTCTAGTACACTGACAATGTTAATTTTCATTTACTTACCGATTGGCACGTTTACAGCGAAGAGAAAGAGAAGGGCGCGATGGCAGAGCATTGTGCACTGCATGGAAAACGCGATGAATCGTCCGTCGATGGAACGCAGCTACTCCTTTTATCTACTTAACCCTGTCATCTTCCGTGGGGACGTCGGTTTCCGGTCTCCTGACGCATAGCATGCCTGGAAAAAAAAGAATAACCACCGTTAATCGTCGTTCGCAGTTGTCCGTAGACGTCGCGTCGCCGTTAAGGATTCCGCGGGACCAGAGGGAACGGGCGTGTTGTTTGGAACGAGCGGACAGAAGGATACCACCACCCTTGTCACCGGGTCCGGTTTATCGGCCGTTTCCACCGAGCGAACTTTCGACTCGTGCGCGCACCCTTGCATCACAAAACTGACTACCCTTACCACTTCTCCGCTATCGTTATCTGGGACGGGACTGACGTTCCTCCTGGTTGATGTTCGACCGTGTTCTCCAGAACTTTGCCTAATAGGCCGGTCAAAGACGAACTATGAATGCCACTCGCTCGGGGGCGGGGGCTGGGTGTCCCAGAACGGGCCTACGTGCATTTACACTTTGTTAACCAGCTGTTCGGAACGTTGTGCGGTGTCTGCTTTCGTGTTGTTTTATTTTTTTCAGACTTTTTTGTTAAATTAACTTGAGCTATTTGAAAGTGATGGTATATACGTTTTCGTGAGTTGGTACTGTTTAGTTTGAAGGTGATAGGTACTAAAACTTAATAGTCACTGCTGGATTGTCGTATATGTATAATAGATATTTATTATTTAATACTTTCAGTTTTTACCTCATGGAAATATTTAATGTTATAACATATTTGTAAATATTGGTAGGAGATTTATTTAACACGTCGATTGTCAACTGAAGCTCTTTGATCATCTGATGAACCTTATGTGTTAGAAACTAGTAGTTATTAACAATAAGTAATATTATTTTGATAAATTTCACAGAAATTACAATGAAGTTACGAATGAATCGTAATCAATCAAACTCCACTACATTATCAAATACTTTCAGGGAAGTGATCAACACGATGATAAAAAAGTAACAATCTTGTCATCCTCGAATTCTATACGGAAGAGCAAGCAAAATTAAAACTAACGGTGAACATTAAAAAGGGCGCGTTTTATTAGAAATATGAACGTCAGATAAACACCGGATTATCGTTTCCAGCGATAATTTTCAACGGAAAGCAGATACGGGGCCGACAGTGCGACGTACCGCGCTTGATAAAACGGAAGGCTGTAATACAGCAGTATTATTCAAATTATTATTCGGTAAATGGTGTTTCGCGCCCGCGCTTCCTGCGTCGCGTGTTGCGAAACGCGACTCAGCCGCGTGTTACAAAATTGTTAATTTTCCGTGTCGCGTTCCGCACGGCTGCTCGCCATTGATCAGATTCGGGACTTCCCCGGCCGGCCGAGCGGTCTGCGAGGCGGTTCAATCGACGATAAAGTATTTACAATGATAATCCATCGGGCACAGGAAGCCTAAACATCGGATGCGTTGTTGAATTCCGAATTCGTTGATCGATATTGCTGACAAACGTGACAGTAAATAATTAATCCCCTCGCAGTTGACGACGCGATTGGTTTTAAATGGCTGCCGACGTGAGCGGCACAATGGCCGCGATGCGATTTTACCGATCGAACGACGTGTCGAGTGTTCAAGAAATGAAAGGCATTGTTTCTGTTGTCAGTCTTCTCGTAAACTTAAATGAACAGTTTTATGTTATTTGATCTGCGTCAACGCTCTTGGCCATTTCACTTATGCTTCTCGAATACAAGTCGTTTACTTTATTTTAGCTGTTTGGTAAATCGATGTGGAAAATGGAATTATTTGTTGGAAAAACGGTGATGTGAACTTTTTGATTAATAAGGTACCGGCCTTAACAATAACAAGCAAATTACAACAAGACGTAAGTTACTTGAAACAGGTATCTCGCCCGGGTGGGGCAGTAGTTTACGCAATTCGTAAAACGAGCACGAAGGGAAAAAATGTAGTTAAATAGAAAACGTGTAGCGCGACGTGTGTTGTACATAACCGTCGGTGGTTGGTCGTTGTACCGGCGGAATTATTTAAATTGTAGCGTACGGTCTAACTACAAATAAATTACGCGGTAAAATGTGTCGCGTGTCGGCAAATATAATACATCGTGAAACTCGCTAACTTCGTGTACGTTAGATATATTATGCAGCGGAATGAAAAAGGGCGGTGTCGAGGCTTGAATCTACCATCATTCAATTGTGTACAGCACTGTTTCCGATCGAACAAAAAAAGCAATTACACAAGATTCACAGCTCTGCGTTGACCAAGTATACAACAAAATTATTAAATACTTCTACCATATGCATAAATATTTATTACAATTCGGTGGATTTCTATAGTTACTTAGTTTTTGAGAATTAAATAAATTTAGATAAATATTTATATAAATATTTATTATACTGTAAGATAATTGTGAAAATGCGAAGTTTTCATCCGATGACTGGACGTCATTTTATAATTATATTATATTTGAAATTAACATATAAAAGAAATTTTATAAGTTATGGTCTAAGTACGGTAATATAACGATCTCAACGACTCAATCTCATAACACTCTTACGACAACCAACTATTAAACCCACGTATTCAGATTTTTTAAAGATCATATCTTCCATGTAGTAAACAGGTGTGTACAATACATGCACCCTTTAAACTGAAATATCCGGAATAATTTTAATTAGAAATTGACACTGGTTTTAAAGAACATTAATGCCACAATATTTTATACGTAGAATCGTAAAAATGAAAATACATAAATATTATCAAATATATAATTGTATATGACATTATCAAAAATTAACACTTTTAGAAATTATCTTTACTACAATGAATTTTCTCGTATCGTTCTATACACAATATAATTTATCAAAATGTTAATTTTCATAAAAAATACGGTCTATTAATAAGCGCAATCTGAAGTCCAGAATAATTGCACGATAAATAATTAATTGCGAGCAATTAAGAGCTTAATCTGATTGATGACCTAAAGTAACTGTGCTTCCGACCTAGTTGCGAAATTTTGTTGCAAGTCAAGTGCCGGTGTTGGTTAACACAAGAACATTTTTACCGTTTCCTGTTACAAAGCGAAAGCCAGCTCGTTTGATCCATTATCTTCAATGAAAATTGAGGACCTCTCGACGCTTTAAGGATCAAGTCACGCTATGATTGACGAGGGATCAAGGTGGCTAAGCAAAATACCATTTTCAGAAAAAGTATCTTTTACGTTCCATGTATCGACCGTGTAAAGCTCCGTGTAAATCGGAACAATCGCGTCGTGGGAACAATTATTAAATCAAGATTCCTGTACAGACACTATTTAAGGCCGCAAGGGATTATTCAAAGCATTTAATCTTCTCACCACCGATGTAAAGGTGTTTCTCGGTACGAAATTACATACATATAGCTTTCGGGAATATTCAACTGTGTATGAGGTGATACGTGAAATTTGGCTAAATTACATCTCGAGTTCAGAGAAGAATATATATTTCATTCTTTTCATAGAATAATTATTAAACTGTGCAATTTTATACTTTTATTCCATGAATAGAATCGTATAAGATTGTGAAGGCTTAATTAAAATTGTAGGTTTTAATAAAATTTAATGTAGCTCCATTCAATTTTTCTTCCACTGAAGACATTTATGACGAAAATTAAATTTTATGTATTACTTTCGACATTTCTTTAATGGGAGTAATTATAGGCGAACTCTATAACATTACGTGAAATTATAATCGCGTTTTTCTCGTAAACGACATTTTTCGCGTTGTCGGAGATGATGCCTCATTACCAACCATCCAATTTACTTCAAACTTGACGGACGCCTTTACCAGAAGTCCCTTCATCATTTGAACCAGAAATAAGTTGATAGTTGCAAAATTTGATTTTCCTTCAGTCTGAAAAAGCCAATTTCGTAGAAATAATTGAAACTCCCTTCTTCGGGTACAGCCATCTTCCCAATTAATATTATTCTTTATTTCTGTCAATTCAAACAATAAGCACACACACAAAAATGAAATATCTTTCCCAATTGGTTGCATTATAAAACAGAAGTAACCAATTTTATATTCACCTTAGTAGATCTGCTATAATTTCATAAAAAATCCCTGTGTATCCTCTAAAGATAAATAAACAAATTCACGAAGTTTAGAATTCAATTTATTAATTACTATAAATACTACAGAGCAATTATTATTAAAAGAAACAAAAAAAAACCAATTGCAGTGATATTTGTTAAACAAAAACATTTAATTAATCAACACTTCCCAAAGAAAATTTCCGAAAGAAATTATAATAAAAAAATATAAAGACATATCCAATTGGTGCGATATTTGCTTTGCAGAAACCATTGCTTGATCAACACTTCCAAAAGAAAAAAGGAAATCCATTCGCGGAGCAGTGACGCGAATAAAAGTGACGGGATAAGGATTCGAGACTGGTTTGATAAAAATTTTGATCGCGGGACGTTTACGAGGCTGTGTGACTTGTACCTACGCGTGTTCCCGTAGTCGCCGGTGTGGCCTGGGCGTAAAATACGAAACACGGAACACGAAATGCTGCAGTTCGTTACCGACAAGGTAAAGCCGATCCATACCACAAACAGCAAAAGTAGCGGGCGGATGCAACGACCGGCTGCGGCTGCGGCAACGAATTGGCTCTTTCACGCAGACAGCCGAACAAAAAGAGTCCGACGGGGTTAACTCTAATTTACATTCGCGCGCACCTATGTACTCTGCATATTTACAATGCACGTACGCTGCGCATACGTGCTACGTGCCACGGGATGTACCGTAAGCGAATGAGAAAGTCTTGAGTTAACAGGCGGGACAATTTTAAACGACAACTTTGCCGTCGGAAAACCCCACTTTACGTGTGCGGCGATAGAAATCCTAATATTGACGTATAAACCGTTCCTTTTTATGCCATTTTTCGTTAAACAGTACGGAAAAATTGACTTAGTTACAAGAAAAATGAATCGGAAACGATTTTCTTCGAATTTTCTCAA